GGCTTTGGACCTCGACCACGCCCTCACGATTTTGTTTTTGGGAACTCACACGAGAATTTCCCAGTAGGTCACCCATCATGGGATTGCTCTTACGCGAACTAGCTAACTTCGGAGTTCCTACGGAACCCGAAGCCAGTGAGCTCCCAAAAGGCCTCGTGCTAGGTAGAGATGAGAATATACATATAAGGCTTAGAGGATCCACTCCCCTAAGCGATGTGGGATGTTACAAGTAGTATGTATTATGAGTCTTATGTGCTAAAGATCAGCTTCCAAAGTGATTTCCATAAACGCACTCGTGGAGAACTTAGAACCTTCAGGTCGTCAGAAGGTGCTAAGCAGTGAAAATGTGGTTTGGTGTAAGATATTTGAACAATAATGTTGTTCCACATAAAGTCGCGTGCCATCTTCATCTAGAGTTTTCTAGACTCCAATCTATCTACGGGGAGTGTTCCATTTACTAAGTAGTCTATGATAGGATCTTGCCATTTCAGAGTTGTACTAACCTATGACACCTCGGCTGTTGGCTTTGCCTCTATGCTTGGTTTTTCCAGATACTCCACCAGATTAGATCGTTTGAGTTAAAGGTCAATGGCGAAGCGTATGCCACCTAGTGCATCCGCATGGGCGTTGTTTACCCGAAGAACTTAAGTAAGGGTGTAAGTCTAAAATACCTCAAGCTACTTTCACACAATCTTTAGATACTACGCCATCCTCGGTATTCCCCGGTAGTCTGGCTGGTGATTAGTTGAGAATAAGAATAAATTGCGAGCTTTTTCACAGCCAAGTCTTTCGCCATTCAAAGGCCTGCTAGTTAGGCTTCATACTCTACTTTGTTGTTGGATGCCTTGAAGCCTAAAGTGATCGCTTGCCTGAGCATCAAATCGTTTGGGGTGATGACGACCACGCCTGCTCTTAAGCCCTTGTAGTTGGATGCGCCATCAACATGCAAATTTCCGCCGTTTCTTCCTTTAACGAAAATGCACATGCAAAATAATAACACCTTTGATTATGGCCAAAAGCCTCATGCACCACAATGAATGGGGGGCTTTGGCTGAAGAATCTCCGATGCCAAAGTTAGAATTCTAAAAAGAATGTATTTAGGAGTTTGTGGGTAGCAAATGGTTTAGCATTTTAGTGGGATAAAAAGGGTATTTATAGTAGACTGGCCAACCCTAAAGGTGAGTAATGGTTGTCCCTTTATGGTGTATTTGGGTTATAATTGCAAGATATTATGTGAAATACTATCTTGCAATTAACATGACAATTATTTCTAATTTAAATAGGAAGTTTGGGAGTTACCTTTTGGATAGAATCAATAAGGGATTGATAAGGAGTGATGAGAGGAATATAAAATAAGTTCCATATTGATCACCTTTGACTCTTCCTTGATTGTGCCATTATTGTTCGTTGCATGCGCGTGGAAATCCCGGTATGCCTCGAGAATATTCTCGTCTTTTTCACCTAATAGTCCACGTGTCGCCTCCATGATTTTTTGAATTATTTTTTGCTCCACACCAGCCTCCGATGGGCCATTCTGGCCTAGAATATAAGGATATATATAGTCGGAGGCTTGGAGCCACACACCAAATATTGACAATAATTAATACAGATGGCTTTAATATTATGGCCAAAATTTAATAAAGGGCTACATATGAGATTAGTAGTTGTGTAATCTTATTACAAAACTACTTTCGCGGTTTACTTTAGGAAAATTTTAAGGTGGCCACATTCTATAGATGGTGAAACTTACTTGTATTATAGACCTTACCTTTCTCAAAAAAATAATTTAAACGTAGTCTACGAAATATATTTTTCTAACATTGCCGTTTATTTTATATGAATTTTTAAAAGTGCCATAGAAATTAGGGGTGGACAAAAAATCGTTTTAACTATTCAAAGCCAACCAAATTAGACCAATATGAACAAGTTAGGTTTAGTTTGTTTTTAAGTGTAAGCAAAATCACAATGCAATTAATTAATTTGGTTTGCGTTCACCTATTTGGAAATCGCTTGTTTATTAATTATTACCATTGACAATTATGTTTCATTTCACATATTAATTCTAACTCTTACTATAAATGGGGAGACTTTGGTTTAGATTATGGATGTTTTATTTGACAATTGTAACTGTATAATTTATTATTAGATTTTTCTTGTGAGAAATTAGGTTTCTAAATCATCTAGTTTTGACGAGTAGTTTCACTCACTTAATTTTTTACGACTCAATATAATATCAATACATAAAATATAGCATTTTTTTTTAGTACAACAATGTAACAGCCCTTCCCTAATCTTACGATTTTATTAATTTTAAATGTTTGAATTGACCAAAATGCCCCTAGAGAAGAGACTGTTAACTTTCATTGACCGTCATTTCGTAACGCATATGAGCTATTATTTTATCATCTCGAAGTACTCGACGGTACGAACGCGTACTCATAAGTAGAATCGAATTTGCAGTTACAATGAAGATTTTACGGAGCTACAGAACTTGAGAGTGTCATATGAAATTTGAATTTTGAGTATTTTACTATTTTAATATTTTCTGGCCAGATATTTTAAATTTTTTATAATTTTTCTAGCTTGTGGGACCCACACCAACACAAACTCTCCTTTCATCTCTTGCCATGTGTCACTCATCCCTAAAATATTTGGATCTCTCTCTCTTCCCTCTTGTCTCTTCTGGCTTTCTCTTCCACTTCTAACTCCTCTCTCTCTGCAACCACCGGTGCCGAGGCACATTGTTCCCAACTTGCAGCTCTGATGACAGCATTGAGTTCTACTCTTTCCCATGAACCTATGCCATCATATGACCTTCCCCATCTCAAACCCAAGCCACGACCATGGAATCTTGACAATGGTTAGACCACTGTTCATCGTCGTCCCCGATGGGTTCATGGTGAACTCTATCCGTTCAAGGTAAGCCTCGAAACTGACGTGGGTGGTCCTAAATCACAATTTCGTGTTGTTTTGTAAACGTTAGACACAACGATTCTCCTCAGGAAATTATTTTCCAGTTTTCGGCGAGGGACTCAAGTTGCAGGCTTTTTCCGTCCACTGCTAAGAACCAAAATGATATAACTCGATTCCCTATCCTCCTAGCTCCATTTTGGTATTTAAATGGTGAATTTTGGTTGAGTTTTGAAGCTAATCGGAGCCCTGGAATTTTTCCGACCAAAATTTTCAAAATCCAACCTTCTTCTTCATTGGGTTCAGCAAGTGCAAGCCTAATCAGGTTCGATCCGACCCAATACAAAAAAAAAAAAAAAAAAAAAAAAAAAAGAAAAAGAGAAAAGCCCAAACTCGAATCCGAATTCGAACCTGGGATCCAGCCCGGCCCATTTCCGAAATAGATCTGGAATATTCTCTGAAATATACTTGGAATATTTCTAAAATATTCTTAGAATATTCCCTGAACTATTCTCTAGAATATTCTTTGTGTAGACTTTTTCAAAATTTTCTCGAAGACCATTCTAGACAAATTTCGACGTCTCGAGTCCCATTTTTACATCCATTTAGTGAAATTCTGAAATTTGAATGTAGTAGACAACCGGGGCAGTTCGTTTGACTTATTACAAAATTTGTCATGGACCTTCTTAGCGTATTTTGATGCCCTAATTTCAAATCCGTGCTTTATTTTCCCAAATTTAATCGTTTTAATTGAACTTTACTAATGGTTCTCAATATTATGCTTATGTGTGATTACTATTAGAGACTCCGGTTTTCCTAGCTCAAATGGATGTGACAACGCAAGTATCTGAGTGTGAGTTTTTTCTTTTATACAGTATATATATATGTATGTATGTATTTATTTAGTTTCCATATATACTTAATAATGAATTTTCTACGTGATGCCATAATTAAATTAATGTTTATAAGAAATGTCGTATTGTTGAGCTTTATGAAATTATTATAAATCCTACAGGATGCATAGGTATGTGTACTATTACGGGATGCTTTAATTATATTTATGACCATGAATATAATGATTAGAACTATTGAGTTTCTGTGGCATGACCATATTCACGTCATCTGCTCATCGTGTGCTACACACACCTGGGCAAAGGTAAGGCTTCACGTGTATGTTCACATCGCACCGCACCCTCACTTTGGATCCATTGTAGGTGCCAATCATGTCCTAATTGCTACAGGCAATTAGGACTCGTATGTGATGCGCATAACGTCAGTATTCACATGATTGTAGTACTAGAGCGTAAATCATTATTAAACTCAGGTATGTTCATGTCAGAATACCTCTGCATGAACTTGTGTGTCAACATATATCGATGAGTACTCGATATGATATGTTTGTTTATGCGATATTATTGATTACCAGTCGTTAAATGCTTATTTACGAAATATGTGACGTATTGAATTCTTGAGATATTGCAACTACAATAAGCATTTTCATACTATATGTAGTGTATATACTTTGGAAACTATACTTGTTTTACGGCGAGGGGTTATTATGTTTTCGAAAAAGTTTTTACAAAACTTTATCTTTAGGCCTAATCATCTTTGTTTTTCGCCCTTCCAAGTTTTAGTGGCAGAGCTTTTGTGTTGATGAGGATTCTTGACAAATCTTGATATTGGAGATTACCTTCGATGGTATAATTTTCATCCTACTTTTACTGTACTTTACTTATGCTCTGACATCATGTGTGAAATGAGTTCATTTCTGCTCACATGCGCACTCTTGTATTTAGGCATTTTTAGGTTTAAATTTACTCACATTTTCCACATCACTACACTTTATGGCTTCGGCACCCTCCTGGTGTCGGCTAGCACAACTCTACTCGAAATCCAAGTAAATATATCGGGTCAGAGTGTGTCGAATAATATATTTTACACTAAAAGAAGGAAAGTTCGACTAAACCCTACAAAAAAAAAAAAAAAAAAAAACTCTTTGCATTTCAAAAATTTTAAATATGGGTACACAATGTTTTTTCCGAGGGCTAATGACAGCAAAATAACTTATTAGAAAAAAGTATAAATACAGAAATTCCCCTCTCAAGTATAACCCTAGCCCTTGCTGACCGTCTTCATCTCTCTGTGACCATTCTGATACCGAATAACCGAGCAATTGACCTCTCTGGTAATCTTTCGCGAGGTCATTGCTGTAACCATCGAATGCGATATGGCAGGTGGTTCAGGTGTCGCCGAACCAGCTACTTTGTCCTGTGCCAGTTGCGGCAAGCCTGCCCATCTTCAGTATGGAAAAATTTCGCTTCCAACTTTTCAATTTCAGCTACTTCCTCCTGTATTCTGTTAGTTTATGTAAAAAAGTGAATTTTTTAGTATTCTTGTTTTTCTGGTGGGTCAAGGACTGATAACAAATTTTGGGTTTTCAGGAGAGCGATAGCGTTAGGGGGTAAGATAGTTGTTAGGGAGAAGGGGAATCAGTGGGAATCGAACCCTCACCAGGTGCATAGGCGTAATTGCTTTCTGCCACAGTAACAAGTTTTGTATGGAAAAAGTGAATATGTTGTTTTAAAAAATTTGGAAAGTTCGAGGGAGTGGAGAGTTTCCATTTCTATTGATAAAGCTAAAATCTTTGTGGTTCTAATTGTGTAATTGCTTTGATTATTAAACAAAAAAATTGGTACTTTTTGTGGGTGATTTATTACGTTCTTGAGTTAAACTTTATTTTTTGTATGCAGGTGTCCAAAATGTGTACAATTAAAGCTCCCTCGTGAAGCTGCTGCTTTCTGGTTTGTAACAACCTCATTCTTTTGTATAAATGGTAATCCAATTTAGATACAATTTTAGTGGAAATTTTGGTTGTAGGTTGTGATAGTCAGTGGTCGAGCATTTCAAGTGTTTAACCTCATTAAGGAGTTTGGAGACATCGACACTGAAATTTTACGCATTAGATTGGATATGTCAATAGAAGCTTGAAACTGATTTATCAGTTCATATTTGAGGAAATTTTGCATCTCTTAACAGCACTCAGGAGTGTTTTAAGGCTTCTTGGAACTTTCATAAACCCGTGCATCTAAAAGCCAAGTCGTCCGAATCTGGGACAGATACTCCAGATAATGAAGGCTGGCTATATTGCTTGAAGAAAGGACAAACTCGAACAGCTAAGCTTCCCTATTTTGATTGGACTGGGTATGGTTTTATTATTTTTGTTTGCCCCTTCATTAATGTTAATTGTTGTCAGATTCATAGGCTTTATGGTTCTGATGCTTGCCATTGTTTGTTTTATGATTGGAAAATTTTGTATCATGTTAATTACTGATGACATTGGATGAAACAAAGTTTTGTGTCAGTTTACGCAGTTTTAAGTTTTAACTCATTTCAGAGTCTTGTACACATGTATTTGGATTTCTTTGTTGAAGCTGTTGTTCATTCCTGTCTTGTGCAGGGCACTGAGGCCGTATCCTATATCTAGTAAGCGTATCGTACCTGCTCACATTGATCTACCTGACTGGGCAGCTGATGTAAGTTGATCTACTTGTACTTTAAATAGCCAATTTGAGTAGATATGGTGCTACATATTGTTGTAATTTCTATCTGTTATAGTGTTGACCTCTTATAACAAAATATTGTAGGGGATTCCAAAAGTTGAGCCCAATAGTGATCTGCAGCATGTTGTCGAGGTAAGCATTTACTTGAAACCCTTGTAAGTCATACATAAGGAGTAGATCTATGTGTTACTAAGTCACGTCCCTCCTTTTAAAATTGAACTTTCCTTTATATTCTATTGATTTTCTGATTTGGTAAATTGTGAATGATATATTCGTTTTGAAGATCAAGACAGTGGATCAAATTGAGAGAATGCGAGAAACTTGTCGAGTAAGTTCCAATTGCTTCTTTCTTTTTGTTCCCCTTAATTTTGTGCTAATGAAGCATTTTAGCTTTTCTTGCTACCATTTTCATATGTAATATCTGTTGTATGTTTTGAGCACTGCAAAAAATTAACATGATGCTATTTATCTGAATGTGAGACAATGTTATCATACAGTGTTGAATTTTTCAAGAAGGATTTTCTCTGTTTAGTTTTAATTAATCTTGCTATTACGTGTCACTTTTAATTTACTGATAGTCTGATGTTCTCATCATACTTGTTTTGTTAGATTGCGAGGGAGGTTTTGGATGCAGCTGCTTCTGTAATACGGCCTGGTATCACAACGGATGAAATTGATCAGGTGGTCCATGAGGCTACTATAGCTGCTGGTACAAAAAGGGATTTTTATTTTATTTAGCATTTCAGTTACCATGTCAGTGTATGCATGTTTACATTGTTCAGAAAGGAAATTGTGGGTATAATGATGTTTTACTTTTAACTCAATGCAGGTGGATATCCATCTCCCCTAAATTATAATTTTTTCCCCAAGTCTTGCTGCACGTAGGTACTTTTTGAGTATATTTTTTTGTAAAGTTTCTTCAGACTGTGTGGTACTGACCTTGCAATCGTGTCTTGTTCTCTTTCTTCATTGCAGGTCAGTCAATGAAGTAATTTGCCATGGGATTCCTGATGCCAGGTTTGCGTTTGAGATTTTTGTTTTTATTTGGAGGATAGGATGGAAATGGAATATGGATGTACTGTTACTATTTGTATACATTTAACATGTCTAGCTTTTTCTTAAAAACATTTTAGCTGCCAATGTAATTTTAAATGTTTTTTTTATTGTTGTATATTGTAGTTTTGTTTCTGGCCAGTTCAGTTTTGGTTCTGAAATATTGTTATTATGGAACAACACTTGGGTCACTTGATGGACTGTCATAAGTTTGTCTTGCTTTGTATTGGGGGTACATAACCTTAGAAAATGCTTAATGTATTTGGTTAACCGCTAACACTTTTAGCCAGCACTTTTTCTTTCTTTTTAATTGTCTTTTATTTGGTTCCGAACTTGAACTTCATGTCTACTTCAGAATAGTTAAAGCCCTCAGTTTCTAGCATTGTGACCTCTTTTATATTGCATCTGAATATGAAACTTTTGCTATAGGAAATTAGAGGATGGTGATATCGTCAATGTTGATGTGACTGTGTATTACAAAGGCGTCCATGGTAATTTGTATTCTAGACATCTAAACATGTAGTTCAATTTAGACAACGAACGTTCTATTCTTGAACTGCCAAACTCATAATGCAGGTGATCTAAATGAAACGTACTTTGTGGGAAATGTTGATGAAGAGTCTCAACGGCTAGTCAAATCTACTTACGAGTGCTTGGAGAAAGCAATTTCCATTGGTATGTGCACACTATATCAATTTTAAGACACATAAATTGCCCAAGAACTTAGAACTGACTTTAAGAACACAATCTCATCAGATCTTTAATGCATCCATCACTAATTCTTGCTTTAACAATCGTGCAACTCAATTATATCACTAAAAGTCATTACACCTTTTATCAGCTATCTGATATTCATGTATATGCTATAATAATCGTTTTATCTGATATTGCTTTTTAATACTTTCGGTGCCATGGAAGTTGTATCTTTTAAGTAATCATTGTTGAAATGTATTTGTGGTTGTGTTTGCTCAATTGTATCAGTAAATTGTGTGAAGATATTTTTAGTTATATGTGGAATGTTGTCACCTGACCTGATGGTAACTGAGCTGTTGAAAAGACAACCTATGTAACCCTATTTCGATGGTGCACACTAGTAATTTTAATTGTTGGGGACTAAAAGCATAAAAGGAAAATTGGTTTTCTGATTGTTTGTTGTTCAAGTGCAGTAAAACCTGGAATGCGATTTCGTGAAGTTGGTGAAGTCATTAATCGCCATGCAACTATGTCGGGGTTCTCTGTGGTAATTTGGAACTTGGGTTTTGACCTGTGATGCATTTTCAACTTTAACAAATCATGGAATTTATTCATTTTGTGTTGTACCAACAGGTGAAATCATATTGTGGTCATGGTATTGGAGAGCTTTTTCATTGTGCACCAAATATTCCCCATTACGGAAGTATGTTCAATAAATAAGCTTCTTTATATACGAATCCCACATTTTCTTGCTTTGTCCTTTAACATACATTACCTTAACCTGAGCAGGAAATAAGGCAGTTGGTGTAATGAAAGCTGGACAGACCTTTTCAATTGAACCCATGATAAATGCAGGTAATGTTTTAAGTTTGTGAGCATGCAGGTGATGTTTCTTTATTGGCTTGCTACATCTTAATAAATAAATAAAAAATAAACAGGGGTTTGGCGTGATCGTATGTGGCCCGATGCATGGACAGCTGTTACATCAGATGGAAAGCGCAGTGCACAGTTTGAGCACACACTTCTGGTAACTATGCAGTTTATATTCTACATGTATCACGTTCTCAACTTCTGAAACTGTGACTGCTTTTAATTATAGAAGGGCTTTTTCTTTATAGGTCCTTATGTGGTTTTAATACTAATGTTCCTCATGAAATCATTAGTGAGATTTGTTCTAATAAATCAGCTCGTGTGAAAAGAAAACGAATGTGTCAGCTACTCAATATAATAATGATGGATGTAGTATTATAACTTCGATTATTGAAGGTACAAGCATAGAAAAAGGTGTAATAGATATCTTTAGAGCGGGAGATCTACAGGTTGTCCTAGATATCAAATCCGCCCATCACTGAAATACAATGCCATCCATCTATTGACAAATACACCATTGTTATAGTTGGCGGTGTGATGTTAGTCTGAGTTTAAATCCTTGTTATTTGTATCTGTATGCTGAATGCCTCTATTTATATGATGACATATATATGATCTCATATCTCTAATCTCCTTGGTATTTCTTCTTTCACATGCATAGGTGACAGAGACTGGAGTTGAAGTTCTTACAGCTCGGTTGCCTTCATCACCCAAAGTGTTCCCTTGGTTAAATGTTTAATGACTGCGTACGTCTTGGTTTATTGAAAGGGGAGAACAGACACAAGGATGCCATTCATGGTAATCATACATTATAAACAGGAGAAGATTAAACATTTGATAATGTTAATTTCCATTGCCTCTTCTGCCGGGTCACGATAACATGTTTGTAATTGGTTAATGTAGTTATTAAAGATTGAGTTTTGGTTAAAGAGCGAGAGTTTGTTTTGGACGTTTTAGAAGAGTTGTATGAATCATTCATAAACTATGGTCATTGTAATAGAATCGGATCATGTAAGTCATGATGCCCAACAGCTACTGTGCTTTGATAGAGTTTTGAAAACAATGAACATTTAAATTTGATTAGAGTTTTTGCATGAAATTTGGGAAATATTTTTGCTCACCACCCTCAAGTGGTTGCCAATTTCAAACATGGTGCAATCAAAATGCGACGCAAACCGTGGCAAAGACCGCAACGAAAAGATTTTCTTTTCGTTGAGCCTTGCAAGGCAGAGCTCAACAAAAAAGAAAATATTGCTAGAATTAAGGGTTTCTATTCTAAAATGACTTCCTAAGTATGCATGAAACCTAATCGGAGTAGTAATAGCAATAGGAGTGGGATTTCTTGTTTGACAAGTTTCCAATTCCTCGCACAAGTTTTTCCCCGTATATGAAGTCTACTTGCAATTCTCACGTAATATGGTTGGTTGGGACAAAGATGGGATAAAGTAAATGGGTTGAGTAAAATATTTGGCCTTGACTTTGTTTAACTTCATTTTAATGAAAGTAATCAGAAAAGCTATGAGAGGTTATTCTGATTTTAAGAAAAATGACGGTTTGAAATTTGTACGTGAAAATGCATTAATCACAAATGTATTAGTAGCTTGTAAACGTTAAATTTCTAATATCCTTGCCATTGTAAGCGTATAAATGCTTGTTAAAAGTATTAACTATCGTGCACTTTCCTTTTGTTGAGGCCCAAAAATGTCACATGCAAGTCTAATCCTCAAGGCCAATTGTTATACAAGCCTCAAGCCAAGTCCAAATACATGCAAAGGTGCATAATCGAGAAGAAGGTATGTTCATAATCATGCCATGCTACAATAATCAAGCCACACTTGTACAATCATGCATATTCATCACACCAAACTTTATCATGCTACTCACTATTCATGCTAAGATAAGCTCAAGTCACATGTTTGAGGCTTGTCAAGTGAATTATGGTGTGGATGGTTACGGAAGTTCATTGGGCCTACGTGAAGTCAAGATTGTGGAAGATTTTGGGTTACTTGGGAGCCCAAAAGTCCAAGCCCATAACCTTTGTATTCCATGTGGGTAAGTTCGAGTTATCCCAAGACTTGTTACAAATCCGTACTAAGAGAGACAAGAGGACGTTCTCAAAGCCCAAGTCCACCTCGACCTAAAAGTCCCTAAACATAAATTGGTGACTCTGCTGGGGACATGTCGCCATCTTGATTCAATGGCTCCAAGAACCAAAAAGAACACTACCATGAAGGGTAATGCCTCAAACGTAGACAAGGTTGTTTCATGGCTCGAAAAGTCTTAACACGAAGGCCAACACCAAGGAAGCCAGGAAAACTTGGACGAATATGACATGCTAGATATCATCGCAGCCATTCATGCCTTGGGTGAAGCCCAAAAAGAAATTGCTGCATTTGTGAAGGAGTTGAAAAACTTAATCTCGAAGCCAAGAGAGAAAGCCAGTGACAAGGACTGCACGCCCAGTAAAAAGGCTTCCTAGGAAGAGTCAGCTATTACTGCTGGCAAAGGTCATGAGAAGGCGCCATCCTTTGTCACTCAGGAAGACGTCATAGCCATGTTAAAAAAAGAGCTGAACATGAGTTCGGAGGACTGGAAATATGTTCCTAAGCCACCATATCCAACCAGTGTTCTCCACATGCCATATCCTAAGGGATACGAGACTCTCAACCTTGTTCTCTTTGACGGCAGGAAGAGTAACCCCCTAAGGAACATATAAGCCGTTTCATTGACGGTTTGGGTCTTCATGCCGGTGACTGCAACCTCTGTCTCAGGGAGTTCTTGAAAAGTCTAACTAACCGTGCCTATACTTAGTACACCACCCTTACACTAGGTTCCATCCGGACCTAGGAAGAGCTAGTAGGCAAGTTTTGTTAAAAATACTTCTAGCATGAGGAAAGAGTCACAACAACTCAACTCAACTACACACAAAAAAAGCATGGGGAAAATTTGGTGATTTTGTCAAACGTTTCCGAGACTTCGCCCTTGATTGCTATAATGAGAAGGATGAGAAAGCTCTTGTGGAGATCTATATCAGCAACATTGTCGTTGACTACAGGGTATACTTAGAGAACATTGGTATCGGCCAGTTCTCGAGGCTCCTGGAAGTAGTAAAGAGGACCAGTTTGTCAGTTAAGCCTTCCATGAGGAGATCTAAGAAAACTGACAAGAAGAAAGCTCATCATGCCTTAGTCGTGGATGACAGATCTGACTACAACCCACAGAAAAGGAAGGAAATTGAGAGTGATAGGGAAACCTATCCTCCGCTAGAGTACATCGATGAGGAATTCCAAGCCATCCTCGATATCATGCTCACAAATGGGGCCATCAAGCTACCTCGGCCATACAAAACCCATTCCAGGGAAAATTGAAAAAATCCTAGGTATTGTCGCTACCATCAGTATGTGGGACATCTCTCTATTGTATGCCAAACTTTGTGAAAAGTTCTCCATGCAGAAATTCGCAAAGGGACACTAGAGTTATCGTGCCAGATGTAAACCATAGACACTGGCCTTCTGCAGAAAAAGCCAAGGGAAAGAAACAGCAGCTGCCATCACATACTCCGGAGATGACGATGCCTACCACCCGTGGATCAACGATCCCAAGCCCTCGAAAGCCATTTGGGAATCTTCCAGGGAACATGGAGAAGGCTTACTAGTGCAAATACTCCAAGTCGAAGAGCTATGATACATTATGGCCTCAAGTTGAGGGATGGGGAGATGAAGATACAAATCTCATAGATTTTGCCCCAAGCCTAAGTGACGAAGCCTTCACTATTGATATGCCACAAGAATACAATGAGGGAACCTCGGAAGAGCAACTGTTTAACCAGGAAATGATGGCTGTGACTTTGTACAACCTTTCCGACATGGAAGCCAACACAGTTGAGAGTTACCTTTACCCAAGGTAAGAGCCCACTGCAGCGCAGGTCCTCTAGGAAAACCAGAAGTTCAAATTTCTCTTCGACCAGCTCGAATATGGCCCGGAAGCAAGGACTGCTGTTGCTGAAGCTCTCATGTATGTTTTTTAGGACTATGGCCCTCAATGCTATGCTGCCCAGCCGTAAAGGGCTTTCCTTGAGAATAATAACGCCATTATCTTCCCATTATCTTCACTGACGAAGATGTAGAAGTGGCTTTTCTTGATAACCAAATGCCACTGTACATGGAAGGGTAGATTAAATTACGTTTTCATTTGGCGAGCTTTGGTTGACTCTGGTTCCTCCGTCAACATTCTACCCTTAGCAGTACTCAGTGCAGCAGGTATCCCAACGTTAAAGGTGGTAAAATCTCAAATATTTATCAATGGATTTGAGAGCAGCAGTGAGGAAACTATGGGATATATCGAGATAGACTTGAAGATTGGCCCTATCAAGTCATTTACTAAGTTTTATGTGATGGACATTAATGTGGCTTACCACACTCTGCTCGTAAAACCAAGGATAAACAAGCACAGACTCGTGGCCTCCACCTACCACCATTATGTCAAGGGAAGGATTGGTCTGAGACCTATTCGCATCCTAGGAAACCAGATGCCATTCAACCTAGACAAAGTTCATTATACCAATGTCGAGTTTTATAATGATTTCTCAAGTGCCAGAAGTAGGATATCACAAGCCTCAAGGATACCTTTACCCCCTGGGAAGAAGTCCGAGATCTCAATGACCAAGAATTCCTAGCCACTGTGGGAAAAGGAAAACTCATACAGCTAGAGGCTAATGTACTTGCCTACACTCCACCTCAATGCTCCAGGGTCATTCTTCCCGACGGCCGCATCGCCTACAGCTCATGACAGGTTGGGAGGCCTGACCACATTGTGTGGAAAACGCCGAGTATGGAGACACTGCATGACAAGCAAGTGAAGTTCCCAAGGTAACTGAAGACATGCCTACACTTGTTGCCGAAGACTGATCCCTACAGAAAATCATGTCTGCGCCAAAATGCATGCAAGATGGATCCACTGCAATGGCGAAAAAGCTTGAAGAGGTAAGCCTAAGTGATGATTCGTCTGTGCAAAAGTTGATTTCTATTAGTGTTTACTTAACTGTTGAGGAAAGGAAATAGCTTCTTAAAGGATTTCAAGGGCGTATTTCCTGGGAGTTATGAAGAGATGTTAGGCTTTAATCCGAAATTGGTGTGCCACATGCTAAATACACAACATAAGATCAAGCTTATAGTGTAGCAAAAAAGGAATTTCCATCGTCTAAAATCAAAGTCGAAGTGGAAAAGCTATTGGTGGTCGGATTTATCAAGCCCATCAAGCACCTTCTTTGGCTAGCCAACATCGTCCCAGTAAGGAAGAAGTTACATAAGCAACTACTTAGCCTAGGCTACTGGCCAACCATGGGGGAAGACACGCATAACATGGTCAAGCAATGCCATGCATGTCAAGTTCATGAAAACTTAATCCACAAGCCTCTAACACTACTGTACGACATACACACCCCATAGCCATTCCATACTTGGGGACTCGATTTGATAAGAACCATCAACCTAGCTTTTGAAAGTCATATATGGATCCTAGTAACCACTTAGTACTTCACATTGTGGGTGGAAGCAATACCTCTTATGAAAGAAACAGGAGCAGCAGTATTTAATTTCATAGGGAATGCATCATTTGTCAATTTGGGATACCTTACAAGATAGTGAATGGCAATGGCACACCTTTTGTGAACAAATAAGTAAGTGCCACACTTGATGCTTACGAGATCAATCATCGTCACTCCATGCCATACTATCCTCAGGGAAACGGTTAAGCTGAAGCCAAAAACAAAACACTGGTAAGGATACTAAGCAAGATGGTACATAACTACGCTGGGGGCTGGAGCACGCATCTCCCAGATATCCTATGGGCTTATCACATATCTCCAAGGATCGTTACGAGCTTTTCTCCCTACTCTTTAGTGTATGGGTCTGAAGCTATTTCCCCTATGGAAATGATGATGCCTATGGCAAGAGTTTCAACATTCAATGATGTGGAATGGGATGTTGCAACATGTGTAGACTGGGGGTGGAAAGACCTTGAGTTACTGAAGGAAAAAAGAGCAGAACCAACTAGGAAAACAATCCTATACCACCAACAAGTTACCAAAGCCTATAACTG